ACTATCGATATATCGATATGTCGATAACTATCGATATGTCGATAACTATCGATATGTCGATAACTATCGATATATCGATATGTATCGATATGTCGATAACTATTGGTACGATAAAATTATGTTATTGTTGAGATTTCAACGAGCGCTACTATTTTTATTAATAAAATCCATTTTCGGGTTTACTCTCGTGTAAATTTACTATTTTTAGTTGCTCGACGTTTCGGAAACTTAACTTTGCTCCCTTTCTCAAGAGAAGCGCTACGTCACATCATCATCCATGCCAAATAAACGCAGTAATAAAATCTTAAGAAAATAGATCTTTTCGTCTTACTGACGATTGCTCAAAAAAAGAAGCACTTCAAAAACTTGAACAAAATATTGCATCAAAATGGCTACTCTTTAGATAAAATAAAGAAGACAATCAAAGGGTGTAATCATGGCCTATGTATCGGTATCTGATTGATGGTTACAGAGGACCAGTCACAAAAAACAGAAAAAGCTAAGAACACTTCAAATTTAGATATACAGTTTCAATTGATTGACATTTACGAAATCTAACAAAAAAACTCTTGATAAAGGTAGCAAAGAAACGTCGAGTAACTATTAATAGTCACTTTACACCAGAATAAACCGGAAAATGGATTTTATTAATAAAACTCGATAAGATAACTATCCTTGTCGATAACTATCGATACGTCGAATATTTCTCTCAAATGAGGCGTGTAATTACCGCTTAATTACAGCGGTAATTGAATTGTAGAAAGCTAAAAAGAGCACTGCGATAATTGCACAGTTAATATGGTAACTCCATTGAAGTTGCAAGAACTGCATTCGGTTATTTTCATATTTTGTTAAAAGAGCCCTCTTGTCTTGTCGGGCTCTTTCGCCAAAATATAAAAGTAAACTCATGCAGTTTTTAGACACGCTTTCAAAAAAATTATCGGTAATATTATATCGATACCTATATATTAAAAACTATCGCCATAACGAGAACTATCGATATACCGATACCTATCGATATAGCGACAGTTATCGATCTTTCGATAGTTATCGGTGTATCGATAACCATCGATATTTCGATAATTATCGGCATTCGATAGTTATCGGTGTATCGATAACCATCGATATTTCGATAATTATCGGCATATCGATAAGTAAAATATATCGATGGGTAAGTACCCGATACTTATATCGATAGGTGAAAACAGTTATCGCCCATCCCTAGCGATAACTATCGACATATCGATATATCGATAACTATCGACATATCGATACCTATCGATAGTATTCATATATCGATAGATCGATATATCGATAACTATCGATATATCGATAACTATCGAAATATCGATAACTATCGAAATATCGATAACTATCGAAATATCGATAACTATCGACATATCGATAACTATCGACATATCGATAATTATCGATATATCGATAACTATCGAAATATCGATAACTATCGATATCGAAACTGGTCTTCAATAATAATAATGCAAACAATAAAGATGCACCAATAAGTACAATATTAGCTCGCTATTCAATGGCTTATCGTAATGCCGAACATTGTATTACAGGTAAAAGTCCTTCTGTACTGATGTTTGGGCGATCATTGGTAACTAGATTTGATAAAATTAAACCTAGTTATCTAAAAGATACACCAAAATTTGAAAGGAAAGGGAAGGGAGTTATCTTTTTCTGTAGGGGAAGAGGTACTCTGTCGCGATTATAGAGTGTTAAATAAAAAGAATTGGTCAAATGTTACAATTATAAAAGTGTTGGGACCCAGAGTTTAATTATGTAAGGTCCACAACACAAACTTATTTGGAAAAGACATCTTGATCAGATTGGAGCCACATCCCGTACAATGGTTGAAATGATTGACAAGACAACAGCAAAAAGTGTGTCGAGTACTTCAAATAATCCTGACAGGCATTACACATGTGTAAATAAAGACCAGAAATTGCCTAACTCGAATGTGGAAGCAAATTCCAGCGATGATACCTGAAGTTAATATAACCAGTAACACTGTAACTGTTAGACCGAAGCGTGTAGTTAAGCCTCCCGAAAAATTAAATTTATATGTTTCAAAATAATTATACGAAGGGAGAGATGTTATGTATTAGAGTATAAGTGACAACGTCGCAAAAGTGTTATACGCAACGGTAAAGGAGACCCTTCTCTCCCGGTTAAATGTGACATGACGGTTATATATTTTACCATCAAGCAATTTAAATATAAATGTATGCAGACATTATTATTTATTTATTTACGGACAGAACAGTTATGTGGTCAGAGATACTCGATGATGAGATGACCATCCAGCTAGAGTTATCTACTACGACACTGGTTGGTACAGGCAAAGAATACTTAATAACAAGAAGTACAACGGAATAGGTTTGGTTGAAATAGTTATCTGTTAAATGTGTTGCCTAACCACATGAAATATTATTAATTAATCAACCTCCATGGCTATGCCTTGCAATGGCCTTGCAGGTTCCTATTTGCAATGTTGCCATATGCCATAACATCATGCATCTTTATTTAATATTATTTTGCAAATCGACCTTTGAACTCCTCATTATTTTCATACATAATTTAATTTTATACGTAGCAAGATTAAGTATTGTTTGCTATGTACATAGGGAAATTTACTACTGCATATTGAAAAAGGATTACTGTTATAATTTCGGCATTCGGTATGATTGTATTTCCTCTATGGAATTAACACAATGGAAAATATAAACCACCCCCCACACTTTACCAGGCACCAGGAATCCGGATCAAACAAAATCTCGATGTCGTCGATCTGTCTCTCTGTTGTGTTATTTTGCATAAAGCCAAATCATTTTAAAGTTTCCGCGGCGAAATTATTGAATCGATGAAGATTTTGCTCTACCAGTGATCTGAACCCAAAGTTTTGTGGTACCTAGGTACCTACTAGATTTGATTCAGCGCTTGCTATTTGAAATTTTAAAGTAATGGGACGCTAGCGTTAACCATAGCCCCCCCGAATGTCAAGATTTTTTTGCAACATTCATAATCGGGATAAATGAACTCCTGTAGAGATTCTTGCGCATTCTTTCTTTAGCCAGACATTCAAAATGGTGGTTAACAGACCCCCAAATTCTTTTTGTTTAGCATGGTCGGGTAAATCAAAAAGTTGCACATTGTTGCATCCGAACAATGCACAGTAAGCCATCGCGAAATTTTAATACTAAAAACTAATACAAAAATCCGATATACTAACTGATACCCAACCATCCTCGAGATTGTGTTTGGGCTGTAACTTTTGGACCCGATGGTCTACGTAGCTGAAAAACAGTAGTTCTTATTTAAGAACATGTTACATGTGTTATGTGTACCATTTTTCAAAGCGATTGGACGTTTCTAAACAAAGATATCGTGTAGGTACACGGAGAGACAGACAGTAATACAAATGATAAACGATCTCGAAGAAAGTATGGACGTAGAAAACATACCTATTCCTTGATCGTGCTGTACAATTACATTTTGTTTCACTGACCAAGTAGAAAAAGGTCGCAGCATTGAATTGGACAGTTATAACTCTCGCCAGGAAAGATTGCCGGTCACAGAACACTTGATCCCGATCTACAATCTCTGTTTTTCGTAAGGTGCTAGCGACTTCCAGGATAGTATCGTGTCAATGTTGAACGAAAAGACTTTTTGTTCAACATTAGCACGATCCTATTTCGGAAGTCGCTCGCATCTTAATAAAAACAAAGATTGTAAATCGACACAAGGTGTGCTGTGACCGGCAATCTTTCCTGGCGAGAGTTATATAAATTCAATGGTCCTCACCTAGGTGCAAACTATACCTAAATGACGAGTAATCGCGCCTTCGATGTATGACAAGGCAACTTCTTTGTAAATGCCTTTGGTAATGAGTTTAAAAAAATTATGAATTGTTGTCAAATTGCAATATTTTGTGTTTGTGTTTTCACTTCGTCGTTAGCGTTAGCGCCCTTGAATAAGGAATCTTTCTTATTCTGATATCAAATAATTATTACGATTTGCTTATCCGATCGCAGCGCTAAAAGAAATCGGATTTTTACAAAACATCAAACATGTTATAATTAGGGGATTGGCGGTATCAAATATTGATCGTATATCGATTGAGGGCAGATGTAAAGAAGTGCAAAGCAGAGTTTATGTAAATAGTAAATAATGGGAGTAAGTATTTATAGGACAGCAATAATATAATTAAAGAATTAAACAGGTGGCAGGTCATATTTTTTATTTATAGAATGATCGCACTGAAAGGCGATAACCGGGGAAGTGCGAGACAATTAGTTGTTGTTAGTTTGATACGCATTGCTTTGAGTAACCTGACTCTCGCCCACACAGCTTTGAATTTATGGAGAGTATATCTTTGGCAACACCGCGATGAATAATGTTACCGTTTTGCTGCAGGTACCTATAATCTCGCCAACTTTACGGTACATTTTAATTATTCAACTCAAGTTACTAGAGGGCCAGATTATCGCCCTCCCAGCGCTGAGTAAATTCAAACTATTTCACAATTTAATGATACGCTGCATCTCTTATTATTAGTTACTCTTTGGTACAGGTATATACGTATAGAGCGCGTTTTTAAAAAAATAGATGATTATCAGTTCATTGTACCATTTATAAAAGAGAACCTCGGTAAAACGAAAGTGACATCTCTGATAACCTTTGTATCACGAACCAATAAAATAACTACTGATAAACGCTATAAACTAAAAAAGACTGTATAAGATAAGTGATATCGTAGGCGATACAGGAAACGCATGGACAGATTCTTGAAATTTAAAGGGAGGGGATAAATAAGATTCGTAGTCGCGCGATTGCGCAACATATCGTACGTGGGATATCGCTGAGTGTTGCATGTCGCCGTTTCAGCGATTTATAGATATTCTGCCCACATTTTTATCGCTTAAGTCGCGCGTATGAATGACGCCTTATATTATAAATGTACGCTTATTCTTTGTTTAATAGTCTTTTTTCATCTACATATGTAAAATTCATCAAATCACTTACATTAAAGTTCTCTATTATTTTCTATGCCAAAAATGAATGCTGAGAGCAATACAATCACTTTCACAGAAGCAAGGTGGATATTGATAAAAGTAAACACTCAAATTTATAAATTTAATAAAACATATTTAATATGGCAAAAACATCCCAAATTAGATACGTATACATATTTATACTCCAAATATACTGAGGTGTATCACAAATCGCAGATTTTAACAATAATAGCTTTATTATTGTATAGGCCCCATCCATGGATATATAAAATGACCTTCTGATTGTTTAAAGAGGTATACATAGGAATTGTTTTTTTTACTACAGAACACAAACAAAGCAAGTTGCACATACAGAATACAAAAATATCAAATAAAATCTACATATTACATACATTCTAACAATAACCTAAATATTATCAGAAATTAATCAATATACACATCAATGATTAATTTTATTGTCTCTATGCACCAAACAAACCACTGAAATTGTGGCCTTAGTGTGACTAAACTTCACACGGATGTGGTTTATTCCCAGTACCACTTCCAACATTCCGACCTATGTACACATCCAAAATAATGGTTCAGATATAGTAAGCAAGTTGTCAACCATACTTCCTGCTGTTGATGGAGAGTCATGTCGAATTATTGAATCGGCCAATATTTTGGATTGGAGAACAAAGGAAGGTTAACCTTCTTAATTTTGTGTAAGTAATGTGTATAATTCCTCGTAAAGTATTTCAGCGAAACATTTTTCTGACCGTTTGATAGATAGAACCATTTAGTATTGCATGCAATGAAATAGGCTCTTAAGGCTCGAAAAAATTGTCCAATGCATAAAGAATATTTAAAGTTACAAACTGGGCAATTTTAGACTGAGCAAAGCACGTTTGGTAGTAACTAAATTTAGCACTCAATTGTTATTGTTTAAGACAGATTTACTACCGTACATTTTGAACGAAAACAATGTTCCTCAAAATATTTACCATACCAATTATGCACTACTAATGTTATATTTGGCTAGGGAATAGTTTAATTGACAAATCCGGTGTTGTTTTTTAATTTCATTTTCAGGCCTTTTTTTAAACCGCGGATATGTTTACCTCAAATTAAAGGTACCTATAGTTTGTTTAAATTAGGCGTAGAATAATTTTATTCATAGACATCTACCAGTGGCATACTATAAGTTTAAAACTCGGTTATGCATATGCTAATAAATTTGCTTAAAATGCGCTACTTATTTCTATCATTAGATATCAATAAACGAGTTGCTTATATAAATAATACAAAAAACCAAACAGTCACGAATCCTTAGCTATTTAATTTCCAATAGTAATTTATGAAATCGGTTGAGGAATTGGTTGTTCACTATCTCGTTGCTCAACTGATTGATGTAGTAAGGTAGCATGCTTACCGCCACATTTTTTGCACAGACTGCTTGCGTGGCAGTTTCTAACATTATGGCCTGATCTTAAACAATTAGTACATATTTTCAATTCAATTACATGCTGTAATCGTGAATCGACCGACAAATCCTTAAATTGTTGGCAAGCAAAAATAATATGACTTCCTTTGCAGAACGTGCACGTAGGATTACGGAGGCCAGAAGTTCCAGGACCCCGAGCATCTTGTGTATCCCGTTGATTTGAATTTCTAAATTTGGTTTCTAGAGCACGATATCGGTTGGTCAAAAATATGTTCAAGTGGCTTACTTTGAGAAACCTTATATCTTTACCGAGGCTCTCCCATAATCGCCTGGAATTAAAATCTAACTTGCTAATTACTAGATAAATTAAGATAGTGTCCCAGTCTTTGACGTTTTCGCCGAGACTTTCCAAAGCGCTAACATTTTTTAGAAATGTGTTATGAAGGTGTTTTATAGAAGTATGTGATTCTTTTGACAGGACTGGCAGGTCTACAATTTCTTTAAGATGTAAATTAACAATCATTTTTCTATTTTCAAATCGGGCTTTTAATATTTCCCAGACTGTCGTGAAATTTGCTTGCGCGTCTGGTAATGAAGCAACAATCTCAGAGAGTTCCCCTGTCAAACAGTTTTTAAGGCAATCGAATTTGTCAGTATTGCTTAGCGAATTATTACTGTAAACTGTAGTCATAAACTCGTCATGAAAACGTTGCCAGTCGCGATAAGCACCAGAAAATTGCAGCAACCGGGGAACTTGTGAAATAGTGATACAAGATGTAGTAGATGTATCATTTGAACTGGTGTCTTCTGGTGTCAAGGTCGAGGGTTCTTTTATAGTTTTTTGTTGAAGAATTTTCCTACCACGTGCAATCACATCATAATACCGCTCTTCAAAAACCGCACGTTCATCGCCCGTTGCATTACCAAGAGACGAATCACTAATTAATAATTTTTCTATGCCATTTTGTATATCTTTAAACTTCTCTAAGGTAGGCTCAATTTTTTCCAGTCTTATTTTGAGAAGTTCTACATCACCTTGTTCAGGAGAAAATGTGTTTAAATGCTGTTCAAAACGAGCTAACTCTGCTGTTAACTGATCTCTGCTGTTTTTTAATAGGTTTAGGTCAGAATTAGTAGCACCCATGATCAAACATTGATTTTAATGCGTATTTCCTTTTTTTTCTAATCTGGTGGTCGAAATTACGTTAATACTTACTTCACGCCTTTAAGAGGAATGTACCCACTTGTGATAAAATTGGTATGATAAGAAATTCTAGGAATACTAGTACAGGATAAAATAAGGCGTTCCGTTTTGTTTCAATGTGAAAAATCCAGCAAATGAGATACAGCTTCCTCAATTTTATCTTGAATTTCTAGTAAAAATAATCAAATAACAATCATATGTTTAATAATACCTAGGTATACCTACTTACCGGAAAGCGTAAAACCGAATTTCAACAATATTAATTTCCTTCAATAATTTGAAGCAGCAAAGTCTCAATTGACTCTAAATCACAGCAAAATATATACTTAAGTATATTCACAACAATTTCGCATATCGCATCAATCTCCTACACAGTAGATACAGGAGTGACAGCACTGTTAACAAACGTACGATAATTATCGTAATTGTACCTTGGACTATGGACTTCCCTCTAAGAATTGTATGATAAAAGATGATAACATACGATGAACGATAATAAACCTATACTTTGCTTTTCGAACTAGGAGGGTCGATTTAAAAAGATTCCTCAAAAAATCTTGGCTTTCTTTGACATGTTGAATTGTAAAATTTAATCACTTTCTTATCACTGTATTTAGTTCTGAGTTTTTGTGTGTTCTAAGCTTAGACCATATAGCACATGGACTGCTATTAGCCCTATGCTTTCAATACAAAGTGGGTGGTCACGGATAGAGGGCACTGTAATCGTGGGTATGTGAATCTCGGGGTAAACTAAAGTCGTATGAACACCACTCGGATCACGTAAAGAGTAGCTTTTATGGTAACCGCGTAGTACGGGAAGCTTTAAATACTCTTGATTATCTTCTATACGTCCACAAATAAGAATAGGTTTGCTTTTTTTGCCATATCTGGGTAATGAATTAATTGACGTTTGTTAATTTACAGGTTGACAGCCTCAAATCGTGTCTCATCGGAAAGATTCGTTTACCCTGAAACGCACATACTCAGACTCGGGTATATGACGTTATTAACCCCCTCAGCCAGGATCTTGAAATTAGTAAGTGTCGGGAGTCCGAAATTTTGCACAATCTTATTCTTAGATCACTTCATTTCGTCGAAAGCTGAGGTTATATTACTTATATTTCGTCATTTTTAAGTTGGTGAAACTAAAAAATCTGAAGTGACAGGTAATGTTTTTAAGACTAAGAGGTTACATTAACTTCTTCGTCTACTAAATTGAAATATGCTGGATTTAACGTGCATATTAACAGATAATGTAATAAAAGTAGTACAATAGGTATAATATTTTGCAGAGGCACCTCTAAAAAGCATTATGCGGGTCACTCTGTAATTGGGCACATGCCTGTTGAGGGCCCAGAACAAGAGAGGGATAATAAATACATAAATATATAATACAATTTTAGGTTTAGTTCGACTTTCTCACAAAATAAACGACACTTCCATGTCACATGTGGATACACTTTCTTTATGGGAGGGTATGATATTTTGAGATGAAGACTTTATGGGAGGGTATGCTACAGTTTATTACATCTATTGGAACAGCAGTATCTAGGACACAAACTCTCCACAAAGAAAATGAAGGTTCTGAGGTGCTAGTAAGGCATATTGGATGGAATAATCCAGAATGTGATAACACAAAAATAATGTATTATCTGTGGTAAATATATTAGACCTTATCCTAAAGCTCCCCCTCAGAAAACAAACAAAATATCACAGGTGGAGAAATTAAGAGTATATACAATCCTACCCGAGAAGTTACTAATTGACCATTAATTGTAAAACACCCTGTAGAAGGGCGATCAAAATTTAAATCATTCGCATGTACCCACGTAAGTATTGTTGATTTTGAAAGACTTTTTGAAATTCAAGTCAACGGAGCCACAGGTCTAAAGAAAAGCAGTCAAATGTCAAACATTTTGAAAATGAATAGAATAACTTGAAAACCTTTGAGTCTGGGTATAGGGAAATGCAGTATCAAACGACGTAAATTTTCATGTAGATTTCAAAAATGCAATAAAATATAAGGTGTTCTATTTAAAATAAGAAAGTTGCAATCCACATAGGATAAAACCAAAAGTAAAATGATTATATTTTCCTTCGATATATCATAAAAATCTGTTGGTATGCATATTTTCAAACAAATTATTAATGGGAGTCTAAATACTATTAGGTAAACCAGGTAACGGTTTGTGTGAAACAGCCTGTATATAGTGAAAGGATAAGTGAAATTGAAGAACTTTTACCATTAGAATTAAAACCCTTCAAAGGTACTATCTCAATAAGAGAGAGTCGACTCGGATTGACTATAAACCCAATGTAATTGAAGCCAGGAAGCAAAGTTGTTTAATTTGTCACGAAGGCAGCGTTTTTGATCATTTTGGATTGGGAATCATACGATTGCCATGCCAATTATGAATATGATAAGAGGGATGGTGAATGTAATAAATCCAGTATTTCATGTAGGTATCTTTTCTCAGATACGTTTAGGAAATTTGAATAGGCTGTTAGTTGAGAGATGAAAGAAAAAAAGATAGTGATAGCTGAAAGACTGAGAAAAAAATTAAGATAAATATTTATTGGTTCACATTGGTTAAAGATAATTTGTTTACACTACAACAATAATTTGATTTAGTCTAAATCAACCCTACAGGTTGTTAATTAGTTGGTTTCTTTTTTGTTATTTTTTTTATTTGCCACATTTTCAAACAACTACAAGCGAAATTAGATCACTCACTAGTAGGCGGGGGACACTTTGTACCCTGAAGGCCCAATCTTCAAATGAGTATAACTTTTGTTTGAATAGTTATTTTAAGAAAACTGTTCGACAATTGTGTTCCTTAACTCATCAAGTATGTACACCACAAATTGCAGTGGAATTTTTTTTCGATTTTTCAAAAACTAATTTCATATTTGTGATATTTATGTTCAAAAAAACCCCCAGGTACCAAATTTCGTGAGAATCAGAATTTTTTTGTACCCTCAGTTAGGGGTGCGCCAGTAGACATTTCGAAAATTTTTTTGCAAAATCGGAAGGGGCAAAAAGTGCTTATTTTGATCTCCTCCACCAACCAAATTTTTATTACATACTTGTAACACCCTGTATAAAATGTCAAACAGCTCGTTTTATATAAACATAGGAATTTTTAACCAAATACAAAATTTTAATACAGATCACAAAGTAAGCAAGTAGCACATAATAAATCTACACATTACATACATTTAACAATAACCTAACACTAAACAGAAAACTAATCAATATTGACATCAATGAGTAAGGAACCTTATTGTCTCTATGCACCAGACAGGCCACTGAAATATTGTGCTCATAGGTGTGACGAAATTTCACAGGAATGTGGTTTGTTCTCAGTTCCTCTTCCACCGTTCTAACACGCACATCCCAAATAATGATGCAGGCAAAGTAAGCAAGAAATGCCAACAAAGTTTTCAACTATGTTTCCTGCTGATGATTGGCAGTCATTGCGAATAATTGAATCCGCCGACAGTAAAGGTCCTTGGTCATTAGGATCGGAACACAAAGGAAAGGTAAACTTCTTTTGTACAATTCCTCTTAAATTGCTAAAGTATACGAACAAAACATTTTTTTACCGCTCTCATAGATAGAAACGTTTGATATTGCATTAAAACAGGCTGTTAAGTCTCTTTAAGGCTCGAAAAAATCGTCCAATGCATAGAGAATATTAAAAATTAGATAAAATATAAGTTATATAAGTATAACTATAAAAAATCCCATCTTTGGTAATACACGTTAGTAACTGGGCATTTATTAGTCTACCAAATTTCAATCTTGTACTCCATTGTAGATTCAAAAGGTGAAGCACGACTGGTATTAAGGAATACACTCAATATTTCGCTAGGGAATAGTTTGATTGACAAAACCAGTGCAATTTTTCACTTCGTGGTTTGCATGTTGACGTTTTAGATCATTTTAAGCAACTTTTCAAGAAGAACAATTTTTCCGTCCGTATGTAAAACTTCTAGCCACGGATTTGTGCCCCTTCTGAATCAATTTCAGACATACACAAACGTACGCTAAAACAGTAACATCTATCAAATGACGCAAAAAAACAAAAAAAGTAACAAATTCTTATCTATTCCACTTTAAATAGTTTGTAACCAAAGTGACTGCAGCTCTCAAACCCTCTGACATTCCGCTATCAACTTGCTGCCTAGATTGCACTTGAACTTGCTGCACTTGAGGAGTGTCTTGTTGATTCCCTTGTTGCCCAACTGACTGATGCAGTAAGGTAGCATGCTTAGCGCCACATTTTTTGCACACATTGCTTGTATGGCAGTCTCTAACCTTATGGCCTGGTCTTAAACAATTTTTACATATTTTTAATTCTATTACACGCTGCAATCGCGAATCCACTGACAAACTTTTAAATTGTCGACAAGCAAAAATAACATGACTTCCTTTGCAAAAGCTGCACGTAGGATTACGAACGCCAGAAATTCCAGCATCCCGAGAATCTTGTGTCTGCCGTTGATTTGTATTACTAAATTTGCCTTCTAGAATACGGTACCGGTTGGTCAAAAATATGTTCAAGTGGCTTACTTTTAGAAACCTTATATCTTTACTGAAGCTTTCCCATTCTCGCCTGGAATTGAAATCTAACTTGCTAATTACTAGATAAATTAAGATAGTGTCCCAGTCTTTGACGTTTTCGCCGAGACTTTCCAAAGCGCTAACATTTTTTAGAAATGTGTTATGAAGGTTTTTTATAAATGTATGTGATCCTTTTGACAGGACCGGCAGGTCTACAATTTCTTTAAGATGAGAATTAACAATAATTTTTCTATTTTCAAATCTGGCTTTTAATATTTCCCAGACTGTCGTAAAATTTGCTTGTGCATCTGGTAAACAAGCAATAATCTCGGCGAGTTCCCCTGCCAAGCAGTTTTTAAGGCAATTGAATTTGTCATTATTGCTTAGTGAATTATTGTTGTAAACCATCGTCATAAAGTCATCATGAAAGCGTTGCCAGTCGTGATGAGCACCAGAAAATTGTGGCAACTGAGGAACTTGTGAACTAGTGACGTATAATATAGATTGGTCATTTGCACTGGTGCCTTCTGGTGCCGAGGGTTCGTTTACAGTGTTTTGAACAATTTTCCTAGCACGAGCAATCACATCATAATAGCGGTCTTCAAAAACCTCATGTTCATCCCCTGTTGTATTACCAAGAGACGAATCACTAATCAATAATTCTTCTATGCTATTTTGTATGTGCTTAAAATCGTCTAATATGGGCTCAATTTTTTCAAGTCTTATTTGAAGAGGTTCTATATCATCATTTTCAGGAGAAAATTTGTTTAAATACTGGTCGAAACGAGTTAACTCTGCTGTTAACTGATCCCTGCCCTTTTCTAATTGTTGTAGTTCATGCTTTTCATTTGATGTAGAATTACTAGCACCCATGATCAAAAATTAATTGATAATGCTTACTTTCTGTTTGTGTAACCAAGTAATCTACTTCAGGTCTTTAAGGGGAATGTACACAAATACCTACTGCTGATAAAATTGAGAAAAACAAATGTTAACTACCCGATAAGAAAAAGCCTTCCCATCTGCTTCAATGTGAGAAATCCAGCAAGACACAGCTTCCTCTATTTTATCTGTAATTCATAGTACCTAAATAATTGACATGTTTAATAATACACTTACCACAAAGCGCAAAGTGGAGTTTCAAAGTGATTATAATCTTTTGGCAGGCAGTAAGTGATGTATTCCGAGTTCTGTTTCTTTTATATCGCGAAAACCATGTCAATAATTGGACACAATAAAACCCCAACTGCCTTTAAATCAAGCTTCAAAATCGACACATTCAATTCCGCATCGCGTCACATTTATTTATAAGAAAGGTCAATGTTCTGCACGGCTGCACACTGGACTGCATTTACAATGCAAACAAATAAAAGCTCTCCCACCACTTTTCTGTTTCAATTTTACCGGCCCGGCGCATGATATAAATAGTTTATTTATTTATTCGACCCTGATGTTAACCTTAAGGTTAACTGTGTGCTTATAATTAGATGATTTATCTGATCTGCAAATGACCAAATGTACTCTTCTCTTTTAGTTCACTTTTTCCTAGTAAATTCGACCAGTACCCAACTCTATTATGTAAAGTAAAGCGCCGTTTACACACAACATTTGTCGTACGATTTATCGGCGTCACAAGACGTTGCACACAAAACTTTTTACAAAGAGATTCGAAATTAACATTCTGTCCTGCAATTCGATAACCTACGCGGGAAAATTATAAGGACACATATGACCAAATGTACTCTTCTCTTTTAGTTCACTTTTTCCTAGTAAATTCGACCAGTACCCAACTCTATTATGTAAAGTAAAGCGCCGTTTACACACAACATTTGTCGTACGATTTATCGGCGTCACAAGACGTTGCACACAAAACTTTTTACAAAGAGATTCGAAATTAACATTCTGTCCTGCAATTCGATAACCTACGCGGGAAAATTATAAGGACACATATTTTTTTATCCTATACAAGGAGAAACTTACATTTTCTCGCCTGTGTGAGGACGCGAAAGAAGACAATTGCACGCATGGAGCGAGAAAATTCAACTTTGTCGGCTAGGCGAGAAAAAAATACGCCTTATGTAAGCTAGATGGCGCGGTTGTAATAAAATGTCAAAGAAGATATTTTTCTCCAACCACCTGAATAAGACGCTATTTTGTTATAGTTTTTGGTACAAAAAATGGGCGATTGGGGGAGTCGTCAGTATCACCTTGGTAACTGTCCAAAAAGTAGGTACTTTTCGGACTAGTCCGCAAAAGTAATTTGACCAATCAAAAAATTACAAATAGTTGTCATTGACCTGTCATTCAGAACATGACTCGAGATGTCACTTTAACAAAAACCGTAAACATGTCTATTTTTATATTAATCAGCACTTGCACATCAACTTTCAACAAGATCGAAATAAATGTCAACTTTCTATAGCAAGCGCTGTCAAGACTTGTTTAGACGTGCAAGATTTTATTGCAGGAATGACTTGCCTGAAAGTTTTCGACTTGCTGGACTGAGTGGACGATAAGTGATAAGAGCGTCCTGAAACACTGGGTGTATGACGGCATCGAATAAGTAATCATAGGAAGAAGTATAACAATTGAGGAGGTGACATGCAAAAGCCGATAAATCCAATTTATACGATTCGAAGAAAAACGGCAAAAATTTCCCATACAGAATCGCGTAAAGACATATGTACTTGGTTTCTTTTCATAGATCTTTGTTCTTCTGGACCTAGATAGTGATACAAAAATTTCATAGATGTATGTAATGCCGTTCAGTGTTAAATTAAAGAAAACTATCGGATTTATCGTTTTTGCACGAAATGTGGTATTGTTTAAGCATTACTACAGTGTTTGTAAGAATAAACGACTTTATTCGTAAAAAAAATTAAAAAACAGCCGATTACAAATTTATTAATTTATTTATATTATTAATTTTATTATTATCAATTATCAATTATTATTATTATCAATTTTTATTTATTAATTATTATTAATTTATCAATTATTATTATTATTTATTATTATGATTATCAAAGCTGGCACCATTCAACTGAATATTATTGTGTCTAGCACGTGGTATGCACATGAAACCTTTACTAAGGATTTATCGGGTTTTGTACAAAAAAAAGGCTCTGTTGGGATTTATCGGCTTTTGCTTGAAACAGCCAACTTTGTATAACTCTCGCCAGGAAAGATTGCCGGTCACAGCACACCTTGTGTCGACCTATAATCTATGTTTTTCTTTAAGATGCGAGCGACTTCCGGAATAGGATCATGCCGATATTGAACGAAAAGTCTTTTTGTTCAACATTGACACGATACTATCCTGGAAGTCGCTCGCATCTTTAGAAAAACATAGATTGCAGATCGGGATCAAGTGTTCTGTGACCGGCAATCTTTCCTGGCGAGGGGTTTATAGGATTTTGTATGGTAAATGTCGCTTTTTGCTCGAAATAAACTTGATACATCGATAGAGCAGCAAAAAATTAGTAAGAAACCGTATCAAACTCGTTTTAACTTTAAAATGGATTTATCGGCTTTTGCGTGTCACCTCCTCAATTATAGATTTACGTATTTAAATGGAATTTGATACATAGCCTCTTGGAAAAAAAGCAAATTTAACGCCAGTTTCAAAATTTAGTTTTGTGCATGCGCAGTGCCAACTTTCTTATTTATGGAGGCATTTAAATGAAATTTGATACATAACCACTTGGAATAAAAGCTAATGTAGGTAGCGCCATTTTCCAAATTTAGTTTTATGTAGGATGTGCAGCGCCAACTTTCTTATTTATGGAAGCAATTAAATGAAATTTCATACATATGCACTTTAAATAAAAGCAAAACTAACATCAGGTTTAATATTTGGTTTTGCACATGCTATAGCCATACCCAGGAGCTCGTTTGTTATATTTGTTAATTGTTTAATTTATTAGAGTATGCTCTTTCCTTCTCTAAGCTATCCACGATGCACACAGATCAGCCCTGTTGCCAATGTGTCTATCTGAACTCGTTTGGTTTTAAACTGGTTTAACTCACGTTTAACTGCTATTTTTGCTATTGTTACGGGCGGCGATTATTATAATCACCAGTCAATGTGAATAAGTGAGGCAAGGAAAATTTTTTAAACAGCCCTCCCTTCTCAGTTTTATAAATGGTAATTTCTAAATGTACTCGGTGCATTTCAGATTTCAGTGTTTTTTTTCGTTTTGAAACGAGCTTTAATTATTTATCGGCCAGCGAAATGGGTGCAATCTCGATATTACGCCTCCTTCCACCTCCAGCCGAGTCAACCCCATTTACTTCTAAAAAGTCACAGTTCCAAAAAATTAATCGTATTCAAGCGCGCGCGATAGGGCGCAGGCCCGCGGTGCTACTTAGGGTGGAAATGAAGCCGGCAAGTGGTCCCGCGTCGCGGCGCAGGCAAAAAGTGCTTTGTATAACTGACTTTTACGTCCCTCAAATGTGGGTCCAATTTTTAGGCGGGCGTTCGAAAGGCACTTGGCGGTTGAGTTGTTAGCACTTTCCTGTCGAAATCTTCGCTTTTTATTTCTGTCAGTTAGCTACTAGTAGCGCTACCTAAAATCGAGACATTTTCGACATGGAAAATAAATTTTCTCTTTATCGCGCTAGTCAACGGTTACAGTCAGGAACCAGCCTCTTCCGATCAAATTCGAGCTGGATCTGAAAAACATTATTTTGCGCCCCCGCCCCGATTGTAAAACGATTGCCGGCCGGCCAGCGGGCATACATTTTTTAGAATTAAAAAAATCCGATACAATACCAAACAATTCTCGAGATTTTTTTGGGTTGTAACTTTTTGACCGCACAGTCTACAGCATTTAGTAAGGACTATTTTTTCACACGTCAATTAGTAAGTTTGGATGAAGCTTATAACATAACAAGACTTAACAGTACCTATATCAACAATTTTCAATTAGACAATTACGATAGTATACCTAACACCCCTTAATTTACAAATGTCCAATGAACACATACAGGTCAGTTTACTACTTGCTTGTGATGATTTTTGCGTAAATATTTTTTTCTCCAACCACCTGAATAAGACGCTATTTTGTGACAGTGTTCGGTACGTAAAATTGACGTTTTGCGGATTAATCGCTTTCACCATGGCAATTGGCAACTGTACAAAAAGTGGATACTTTTGGTCCTAGTACCAAAAAGAAATTGACCTTGAAAGTTGGCCAATTAAAAAATTACAATCACGGAGATATGTCACATTGACATCGTTTTACATTGCAGGTTGTAAGATATTTCTATACATACAAATCAAATATTTTTGCATATTCAATGCAAATAATGCTGTTACCTATACGTATGTACATGTATTGAAAATGATTTACGCTCGCTATTTTTATTTAAACCATGTGTACAAGTTACATAGGTATTCGGTGAACGTAATTTTAATACGTATACAACCCGCCGTCGCGCGTAACACCATCTACTTCAGGCCCATTGCACTATTATCTGTCATTTTGAATTCAAAATTTGAAAAAGTTAATTGCAATTAATATTAATTAAAAAAACTGTATGGCTTTTTTATTTCAATACAAAATATAACAATATTAATTGTGTATACAATAGAAATGACTGAAACTGACAGCGACATGGATTGCACTCCGCCAGAGATTATAGAAACGGCAGAACATGCTACCTTAGATTGCTCCCTACAAAGTCGCGAGAGGTGAGAAGTAAGAAGTAAGAACGAATAGGTTATAAGTTAAACCTAAAAACTAGAGTGGCATGACACGTGAGGACAAGAAAGCAAAAGTTCTCATACTAGTAGTGAAACTGTGACTGAATCTAAATTCGAATATAATTTGAAGTAAAGGGGGTTGGAGAAAAAATTGTATGTTTTATTCGTACAAAAAATGCGTTTTCGGGACTCGGAAGGTTGCTGGACTCCGCTAACGCGTCGTCCAGCAACTATCTTCCTCGTCCCGAAAACTGCCATTTTTTGTACTAATGAAACAAATAACTATTGTAGTGTATGTCTACATTTTTTGAATGTTTGTATTAAATGAAAATGTATTAAATGATGAAAAACAGTACCATGGAATAATAATTACTTATTCCATGACAGTTATCTGGTCAACTTTCACATCTCCCATGAAAGAGATCAAATTACACTAATGAGCCTATTTAAAGTAAGGCCTTAGGGCTTATTAATAGCATAATGGAATTGAATGAAAGCATGGAATGTTAATACATATATGTATAGTTTGGCAACGTTGGGACCTTCTACACGGAATTTGTTTCAATTTGAATGTATTTACTTGTTAAGTCCAACGCCAGATGGCCAGATACGAAAACGCCTAGTGGCGGACTCAAATATCTGAATATGATTTTTACTACAGAATAATACTTCTTCCTATGATTACTTATTCAATGATGACGGCCAGTAGGTATATTTTCTTTCAAATTTTGAAGGCGCCTGGCAAAGTGTAAGGCCCAACTAAATGGTCTGGCATACTTATTTGCGTGGGATGGAACCACTGACAAATTGCAATGTAAAATTATAACAAACATTCAAAATGACTCCTGGGCTTATACAATCGTTTTTTAGGATGGTTTTTGAAAATATAAATTCTACATACATACATTACTCTCTAGAGCGACTATATAAAGTTTTTACTAGAAAGACAGTAATTACTATAATATCGCTAAAATACGACGACACAAATTACATCAACCACAATGGTGGCAAGCAGCAGTAGTGCAGCTATTTTTTTCTAGATGTCGCTAAGGTACAACTTAAAAATGACTTAAAATTGTCGCGCATTTAAGTAGTTCTGTAAAAAATATTATAGGGAACTGCTTCATCCCATTAAGGATCTCGCTCATTATACCAACACAACACAACACAGCACGTCACGTCAAATGTCGGTGAAGATAAAATGCATTAGGTTAAATAAGGATCCGCTCACTTGTCCAACACGACACGACACAGCGTCGGCCGATGTTGGTCGGATCTTCATCGCACAACCCTGACCGACAAATGTCGATGCGTGTTGTGTTGTGTTGGCGAAGTGTGCGGAGGTAAACCGTCAAGAATGTCTTTAGCATGCGCAAAAGTAATCAGCTGTTTAAGTTTAGTCATTGAAAAAAAATATTATTTAGTGGACTTCAGCTTCTTAGCGAAATGGACGAAGAACTATTAATCAATCTCGTTGAAAAATACAGTGAATTATACGATGTAAACGATTCAAAATATCATGATCAAGCAAGGAAGGAGAACATTTGGGAGGAGATTGCTGCAGAAATGCAAAAACCAGGTTAGTTTTTAGTTTTATTCAATCTCGTAATCTTTCAAGTAAAGTATACAATATATTTAATTTATGTAACATTTCTTTTTCCTCTGCGCACCATTTCAGTTTGCCACGATACCGAACCATTTGGTGAATTAAAATAATTTTTGAATGAGTCTCTGACGCCCATTGCATTTGTTGTGGACGCTCCCCCTATTCCTGGAATATTTTCGATGCCTTCTGGACGTACAATAGTTTCATGTTGTTCTTCAGTCCAATGACAAGTGTCATTTCGCAAAAAATTATGTAAGCAACATGTTGCTAAAATCACTTTATCTAACTTATCTGGGTCTATTTGTAAATGACGTTGATAAATCCTAAATCTCTTGACTAAAATACCGAAAGCGTTTTCAGAGACGCGTCGAGCTCTACTAAGTCTGTAATTGTATATTTTCACTTCTTCATTGTTTAGACACTGCCGACCTGGATACGGGCGCATTAAATTGTTATGAAGAGGGAACGCTTCGTCTCCTACAAAAACGTGTGGAAGACGTAAATTGCATCCGGGTAAGGTCTTAGGTTCTGGAATGTCTAAAGCATTGCTTAATATTTTTTTACCAATTGTGGAATTAGCAAACACTCCTCCATCACTGCTTCGTCCATACGCACCTACATCAACTGCAGTAAATCTGCAATGCGCATCAACAAATGCAAGCAGAATTACACTAAATGATTTCTTATAATTGAAATATAAAGATCCACTATTGGGTGGTTTATCAGTGATGACGTGTTTGCCATCGATTGCAGCTAAACAATTAGGGAAGTTCCACAACGATCTGAAGAACTTTTCATTCTCCTCCCACATGTCTTTTGTAGGTGATGGCATTACTAACGGGCCCATGATCTTCCAAATGGCGTCGCAAGTTGTGTGTACGATGTTTCGAACTGTTGTTTCCCCAAGTCGATAGCTGAATGCTATTGTTCTGAATGTATCGCCCGTTGCCAGGAATCTATACAAATAATATGTACTGTATTAATAGTTATGTTAGTTGCTTGTGTAAAATGACTACTACTTATATTTTTTATTTACAGCACGTGAATGTAAAAAGCGGTGGAGCACGCTCAGGGATTGCTACCGGCGAGCACTGAAGGCTCAGCAATCCAAAAGTGGTGATGGGGCAAAGGCACACAGAGAGTGGCGGTTTCAGCAGCAAATGAGTTTCCTGCGAGGATTTCTTCCTGAACGACAGCAGCTGTCAAATGTAGAAATAGAAACAGCAGGAGCCAACGATACTGAACGTGAGGAACAGGAACGTGTAAACTCACCAACTGATTACGTTCAGCAATCGGAGAGTGATGAATCAAGTACATCATCGCGCCCTCAAAGCACTCATTCTGCTGTATCCATAGTAGGCAAGCGTAAATCCAATAAAAACCAGCCGCTTACAACAGCACATGTTTTACAAAGTTATTTAGCAGAAAAGCGAACTAAAAACACTCCATTAGCGACCGCACACTCTCCACAACCTCTCAAAAAATTTTTTGCGTCCATTGAAGACACCGTTAGCACTTTTCCATTAGAAACACAACTAGATATCAAATCAAAAATATTCAATATCGTTCATCAAGCGGAACTATCACTTTTAAGACATTCAACGGGTAATATAAATCAATCACATTTTCACCAAGAACATCATCAACAATATTATCCATCTCAAGTACAGCACATTCAACCACATTTCATCCCAATGACGGCACCTCAGCAACAACCATTTCAAGACATACAGTACGCAACTCAAAGACGTGTACAAAACCTTCAACAATTACCACGTATCTCGCAAGCACCATCACAACCTCAATCACAATTTCATCCATATACATCCCAAACACAACATTTGACCAGCGATTTGCATTATGAAGAAGATGCATCCCAGTTGACGCAATCACTTACTACAACAGAAAATGATGTACCTACTACACTCGACAATAATAAATTAGATTTGTAATGCATTCTTTCAAAAAAATAAAAGTTATGTAAGTTACAAAGTAGTAAATTACTTACCTTAAGGTCACAGCAAGTCGCTCTTCTTTACTAATTGCTTTACGAAATGTAGTGTTTTCTAAAGTTAATTGTGATTCCAATAAATTTACGCACTCTGCGAACTTTGGCGCAGACATTCTAAAATACTGGAAAAATTTTATCTCGTCTCTCTGTAAATCTTGGAACAAGTGATGAAATTCTCCCAGTGTTGATCTTTTCATATTAATAGGATGAACCCACATTTTCCTCTTTCGCTTTTTTTCATTCTCCTCTGCTTCTAGAGCACTTACAACCACCATCAACTCTTCGTCCGACGAATCTGAAGACTCCATGCTTACCACAATACTAAACTTTTTCAATTGTACTACATCAGTAGTTTGTTTTTAACGTTGAAAAGTGTCGTTAGCCGTCATTATATGAGCGCAAGCCGAATCGTCGTCGGCCAGCGCTGGCCGGCGACGTGTTGTGTTGTGTTGGTATAATGAGCGAGATCCTTTATGATGTCATTGGGTACATATTTGTCTAAAAACGATTACCATATAATTCAAATTTATCACCCCCACAAAATTTGAGGTAGGTAATTTTGTGTAATTGTAAAATCAACATTAGGTAATAATTGCATTATCTATTACATAGCTCTAGTAGTAGTGGTTCGTGTCAGCCACCATTAAAACGCAAGTAAGTATAAACTCATGATGCGTGGACTAAAATTACTACATGCATTATGTAACTGTAGCTGAATTTACATATTTTGCAGGCATATAGGTAGCCCTACAAAACACTTTATCCGTAACATATATATTACTTAATCAGTTCACCTTGATCAACAGAATTACAATTACGTACCTAGGTAAGTATGCTCGTAAGTATGTATAATAGGAAAAGTTTTTCTAACAATTTTACTATATTTTTTGCATTATGTGTCACCTAATTATGGCCCCTTAAATGCTGTAGATACGCACATTTTTACATTCACAATAGCTGCCACAATAACATACATCAATATCATTTTTAAATACTCTAACGTATTCTTCACATTAAAATTTCAATGCAGACGTCTTTACACGTAATGGCAGTACATGAAAAAAATTTGGGTACTTACCAATGTAAACTTGCGTTCATAATATGAAGCCCATCCAACAATGTACTGCCCCACAGATATAACTACGAGCAGCAAAAGACACAATTCTAATAATCCAATACGTCGCACATGCCGATAGTAATAAATAGCAGACCTCCAGTTAGGTAAACCGTTAACTAACACGTCATCATAATACTTTCTCTTTGTCGAATCTTTAAGAACATCATAGATAGCTACCAAATGGCGAAATTGTTCTTCGGCATTCTCCGCGCTATTCTTGTCTGGATGTAGTGTTAGGGATAGCTTTCGAAATGCACTTTTTATAGTGGGAGTATCTGCGTCCTAAAAATTTAGCGTTAAAATGAAAATCGCTCCGTTAAAACAGAAATACTTACTTACTTGAGCAACCGAAAGAAAAGTGTAGAAATTTTCCTTAACTTCTTCAACAACGTCAAATACCTCTAATTGTTGAGTATCCCATGCCGTTATATAATTTGTGTTACAAAGAAACATAAATATACAGATGGATTTCATATTGAGCAGTATTCAAATTTTAAAAAAATTATAATTCCTTATAACCTAAAAAGTTTTTTTAGCTGCAACATTACACGTGTTAGCAGCCACAGCGGTGTCTCTTGTTGCGTCTGTTCATTCCTTAGCTGTATATAGTGGCTGTATAAAGGTGGCAACGGAAATTGGATACACCGAAAAAAACCTAAAAAAGCGTTAGATGCAAGCATTGATTACACACACTGACTAGTGGGCTCTCCTTGTACTTTGAAATAAACTTTAGCGCTCTAGTTTCAACTAGATGTGTGGTCTCGAGTACTTCCGGCCCATCTATGAACCTCAAAATTCAACCGAGGGAGATGGAGCAAGGAAGCAATTTAAAATTGTTATTTTCAACCCCCTGCCGCCACGCATAATGGTAGTTGTATGAGGCAAATTTATTTTATTTATTTATTATCCCTCTCTTGTTCTGGGCCCTCAACAGGCATGTGCTCAATTACAAAGTGACCCGCATAATGCTATTTAGAGGTGCCTCTTAAGTTGGTCTATACTTCTCCGGTATTTACCTTAAAACCTAATTCGGAGTAGCCGGTAGAACGCTCGGAACTGGTCTAAGGTAATTTCCATCTCCGCCACAGATGAAAAATTCACCCCGACCCAGGTTCGAACACCCGACCTCCAGATAGCCCAACGCTCTACCACTGAGCCATAAAGATGAGGAAGGAGTGTAATATACTTGTAACGTGATTTATAAATTCGGGTTCGATTTATATCAATATTTATTAAACAAAACTAAAACACTATAAAAACCGTACAATTTATATCGATTATTATATCACACACACTTCGCAATTTATATTTCCGTGCTCGATCTCGTTCGATAGTAGACTAACTCCCGCGATGTTCGGTCCGCAACCATTTATACACGCAAGCAATGTAAGTCCCGAACATTCTAGAATACGCGTAGAAAATTCCAGAGCGCCAGAAGGCGACGTCATGTCTGGAGCATTTCCGTTACACTGCCCCCTTCTTAATTCTGGACGTCTCGTTCAGAAACTGCGTTAATATTACTTTTTAATGCCTCGTGTCGGAATCTGCAATCAGAGCCTGCTCGACAAACACCTTTCTTGAAAAAGTAACAGTCCACAGTTTTGCGGAGGGTCGTCCCCTGTGGGTTGAAGCAGCATACTGTAATTCGAACGCTAGTGTTTCTACAAATCACTTCGATCATGGTTCGCACTATCTTCCAGTCCAAGCCATCTAAACCACATCCAATCTTCGGGATCGCCAAGCTATTTATGTCATAGTATGCCATGAGTTTCTTTAAGCTTTTTAAAGCAGGCCAGAGGTTTTCATAGGTGGGTTTGCCTTCTGACGTTTTCTTTGAAACCAAGTAGAACAAAGAGCGTTGACTATCTTCCAAGCGCAGTACTTTACCCACTCGTGGTCTTTGCTTTATCAACTCGTCTATTCTTCCAAATCTTTTCCGGAATACGGAAGCTATACCTCTACCCATGCGAAGGTCTTCGGCGACACAATGGGCGATGGAAACGTTAACCGGAAGCTCAAAAATATTTTGACAAATTTCCTGAGTAACGCCAAATCGAGCTTTCTTCCGCTGGGCGTAATTTGACATAAAATCGTTAAAGTTTGGCTCGATCCCAAAGCTGCGTTCCTCTTCTCGAATACCTCTAACTTCTTCGTTGTTGTTGGATCCGGCATATCGTGCGAGTCGATTAATGTGGACAACTTTCGGTTTCCGGTGGTTCATTCTGATACGATATATCACGTCATTTATTTTCTTGATCACCTCATACGGACCTTCCCATTGTCTTTGTAGCTTGGGAGAAAGACCCCTTCGTCTCTGTGGATTGTGCAGCCATACCAGATCTCCAGCTTCAAAAGTTTCATTGACCGAGCGGAGGTTGTATTGATTTTTCATGCGATCGCTGGCAATCTGAATATGACTTCTAGCCAAGTCGTGAATATCGTTCATCTTCGTCTTTAGTTGGTCAACATAATTTTCACCTGCGACATATTCTTCATGGGGTTTACGCCCAAACTCGAGGTCACATGGAAGGCGTAGTTCACGACCCAACATAAGGCAGGCAGGAGTCTGACCCGTCGTCTCGTTGACGGCTGATCGATATGCCATAAGGAACAGGTGGAGGTACTGGTCCCAATTTTTCTGATGTTCTGCCACGACTTTTGAAAGATATTTACCCATCGTTCGATTCATTCTCTCCACAATTCCATCTGACTGAGGATGCAAAGGTGTTGTTCTGGTTTTATTGGCTCCTACCAATCGACAAACATCTTGGAACAAAGCCGATTCAAAGTTCCTTCCTTGGTCTGAATGGATTTCTATAGGAACACCAAAACGTGTAAAGAACTCCTTTACCAACACTTCTGCAACTGTTGCTGCCTCTTGGTTTGGAATGGCGTAAGCTTCAGTCCACTTTGTGAAATAATCCATAGCGACTAGGATATATTTATTTCCGCCATCTGTCTCGGGAAACGGTCCTGCGATATCGATAGCAACTCGTTCCATCGGACTACCAACGTTATACTGTCTCATGGGTGCCTTCTTCTTGGAAACTGGTCCGTTTCCAGTAGCACATAACTCACATTTTTGACACCATCGCCGGACATCTTCTTTACTGTTGACCCAATAGAATCGCTCACGTACCCTTTGCAACGTTTTCGTAATACCAAAGTGTCCTCCGGAAGCGCCGTCATGCAATTTTCGCAATACTTCCGACACTTTGCTTCTAGGTACTACTAATTGCAGCGTCGATTCGATGCCATCTTCACTTTCAAGGGTCCTATACAACAGGTTGCCTTTCAGAGTCAGGCTATTCCATTGGCCCCAATAACTCTTTACTTCAGGACTTGTGGCACTAATGTCTTGCCAGCCTGGTCTTTGTCCGTGGCGCATCCAATTCAGAACAGTTTTTAAACTTGGGTCGTTTTCTTGGGCCGTTTTGATTTCGCTTGGCTTCCATTCCTCACTCTCTACAGTTGTTCGTCGCAGATGGCCAATTTTGTCTTCTATTTTAGAACAATGTGTGCAGTTGTCCTTGCACGGTCTTCTTGACAAAGCGTCTGCATTATTGTGAACTTTTCCAGCCCTGTGTTCAATGTCGTAGTCATATTCCTGAAGACGTTCTAACCATCTTGCCACCTGTCCTTCTGGATTTCGGAACTGCAAGAGCCACTTTAGCGCTGCATGATCTGTCCTTATCAGGAACTTGCGGCCGTAAAGGTACTTATGGAAATGTTCGCATGCCTTTACCACACCCAGGAGCTCTCGCCTAGTCACACAGTAATTCCTCTCGGGTTTCGACAGTACTTTGCTGAAATAGGCAATGACTCTTTCCTGTCCGTCTTGCAATTGAGAGAGAACAGCTCCAATGGCGGTGTTACTGGCATCGGTATCTAGCACAAACTTTCCTTCATTTCTGGGGTAGCCAAGGATAGGTGCGCTAGTAAGAGCCTGCCGGAGGTGTTCGAAAGCTCTTTGACAGTCTTCACTCCATTCGTACTCATTGCCCTCTTCTGTCAACTTTATTAATGGTTTAGCAATGTTGGCAAATCCTTTCACGAATCGTCTATATAGGTGCACAAACCGAGGAAACTTCGAATCTCGTGCTTGTTCTCAGGAATCGGCCACTCTTGAATCGCTATAATCTTCTCTGGGTCAGCTGTAACACCATCACGAGATACGATGTGCCCCAAATATTTAACTTATTCTTTTTGGAACATAAAGCATTTCTTGGGACTTAGTTTTAAATTGGCCTCTCGTAATCGTCCAAACACCTCTCTCAGGTTCTTTAGGTGTTCTTCAAAAGTTTTTCCTACGACAATTACATCATCCAAATATACCAGACATGTCTGCCACGTTAGTCCCCTTAGAACTGCTTCCATAAGTCTCTCAAACGTCGCGGGGGCATTACACAATCCGAAAGGTATTACTGTGAATTGCCAAAGTCCAGAGCCTATAGAAAACGCGGTCTTCTCTCGGTCTGTCGATTCCATCCCCACTTGCCAATAACCACTCTTTAGGTCGAGTGTGGAAAACCATTGGGCTCCAGATAGAGTGTCCAAGGTGTCGTCTATTCTTGGCAGTGGATAGCTATCTTTCTTGGTGACCGAATTTAACAGACGGTAGTCAACGCAAAATCTTGTGGAGCCATCCTTCTTCTTTACAAACACTATCGGTGATGACCAAGGACTATTCGATGGCTCGATGACACCTTGTTTTCTCATGTCTCTAATAATCTCTTCCGCTTCGTCTCGTTTAGCCAATGGGAGTCGCCTTGGCTGTTGTCTAATCGGTTGGGAATTGCCAGTATTTATTTTATGGGTGACTATGCTTGTCTTGCCCTTGTCCTGGTCGTTTACCGCGAACACATCCCGAAATTCCACAAGCATATTTTTCACCTTTTGTCGTTGTCTATTGTCCAAATCTGGAGTGTTTTTAATGACCATATCTATCAGCTCTCTTGGATACTTTCCTTTAGATAGATTTTCCGATCTCACAGAGCGAATAGCCGAGATGGGCACACACTGTCCAACTGCAGTTCGTTTGCTTAGCTTAACAGGACTATCTTTCAAATTCATAATTCGAATCGGAACGCCATTTTGAACTTTTACCAGAGCCCTAGCCACTAGAAATTCCTTTTGGTTTAGTGCTTCGACTATCCGTAGGCTTCCCTGGCGACAATATCCATCTAAAGTGGTCATTATAATTTTTTCACTAAGTCCGGGTATAATGACGTCATGAGTGGTTAACAGGCGGATGACATCTTCTTTGTCTTCATGGAAAGGGAGTTCTTCATCGCCGACCTTTAACACGCCCTTTTTCACGTCTAACACAGCTCCGAGTTTCTTAAGAAGATCCATCCCCAAGATGAATTGATCAGAAATATCAGCAATTAGCACCTGGTGATTGATGGTGGTCTTTCCGATGGTGACAGACATTTTTATTTCTCCGTGCGTTTTTATTCTTTCACCAGTTGCTGTTTTTAACTGCACGGTCGAAGATGAGATCCGAGAATGATTCTTCAATAACTCTGGTCTTGCAATAGTTCTTGTTGCACCTGTGTCT